GTCCAACACTGTTCGCTCTCATATACTCGCGTATCTCTCGACATGTATATCCCACACCCTCGATACCCGCCATATTCGTATTCGATCGTACCACCCTTAGGGGCATATCTTCCTTATCTTCCACGTGTAGCTTGCGCAGTCCTTGACGCAGGAAGACGAGAGAGACAGGAGAAACGAACAGCGAGGAGAAAGTTTGCGCGGGAAGGGAAGAAGGCGGAAAGGGGAAAGGGGGAGGGAGAAGGATGGAGCACGAGAGAGATTAGCAGTGTGTGGGTTAGGAGGGGAAACAAGCGGCAGAGCCAAACAAGCGGGTCGGGCGGGCGGACTCTCACGAGGGTTCGGGTGGGCGGCCCTAGACGGCCACATCGAGCGCGCGGGTCGCTGAAGCGTCAATTTTGCGTGAATCGCGAGGAAGTCTCGAGCGATAGCGCGGTTCCCAAGTACATCGTGAGGAAGTCCAAAGCGAGAGCGTGACTCTTGAGGGTCGAGGGCGCGGCATTTCAATATTTCGAGAGGAAGTCCCACGCGAGGGTTCGATTCTGAGGTAAACTGCCACCAAGTCCCAAGCTAGAGCACGCTTCCGTAGCCATTTTGGCTCAAGAGCATTGGGGTCCAGGCTTGGATCACATCGAATACACTATCATACTGTACGCTGCACTTCTCGTGCACTCTGCACACATCGTCAGTATGCTCTCGCCCAGCATCATGTCGATCTTAATTTCTCTTGGGTGCGCTGGGGCCGTGCTGTTTGACGCGGGGGAGCTTTCCCCGACTGCTGCTACCTATGGAACCGCCACCTACGTGGGCTGCGTAGGTCCTCCAAGCGGATGGAGCCGCCCATACGGTAATGTCGCAATATCGTCTGCAGGAGCGGAGAGTTGCCGCACGTCCTGTCGGAATGGCGGCTACACGTACTTTGGCTTGGAGTGCCCCATGTCAAGCCAAGTGCATTGCCAGTGCAGCAACAGCATCGGTGGAACTTCTCGAGATGCCTCGTATTGCAGGGGGCAAGGCAATCCCTTGGTGCATCCGCACAACCACTGTGTTGGTCCATATGAAGCTGGTGGCTATCTCTTCGGTGATTACACGGTGGGCTCCGTATATTATACAGCGAGCGGCGCCTCATGGACCAAAATATACCAGATCCAGGACGGTTCCAGCAGGAGTTCGTATTAATTTCCCTTGACCACCGGATCTTATGGAAACATTGGCTCGTCAATTGGTTCAAGTCATGCGAAGTATTCCGACTCGGATATCAACTCCATGGCCGTCGCGCGGGACGGCTACTCGCACGTCTACCAAATCAAGAGCTCAGATTGTTCTTCGTACTTGTACGTCAGGTCGAACGACAATTACGTCGACACATCGGCCTCCTTCGGCCTTACCCAGGGTAACACTCGGGTTGGTTTGGCTTCATCATACGAGGCTTGCACGACCTGGGCTACATTACCTTCTACATCACACGGCATAGATTTACTGTACACCAGCCCTGGTCTCGGTGGTGAGTCGTGTTGCCGTTATTTCTTCGGCCATGGGTCAGTCGATTGCTGGGGTGGTCCCTCAGGGTACCGCTGCGTCAACGGTGGCAGCTCGTGCTCTAACTATAAGAAGTTGAATGATGTTGTGTTTTACGTCTGGGGGGGCAGCTCGACGCCCAGCCCAACGCCGAATCCGACGCCAAACCCGACGCCGAACCCGACGCCCAGCCCTACGCCCAACCCGACGCCCTACCCGACGCCCCATCCGACGTCCTATCCGACGCCCCACCCGACGCCCTACCCGACGCCCTACCCGACGCCCTACCCGACGGCGTTCCCGACGGCCTTCCCGACGGCTTTCCCCACGCCCAGCCCGACACCGAGCCCGACGTATCCTCTGGGTTGGCCGACGCCGCATCCGACGCATCCTGTCGGTCCCTCCGCTGGAGCTGCAGGCGGGTCCGTGGCTGCCACAGGCGACCCACACTTGCAAAACGTCTACGGTGAAAGGTTTGACTTGATGAGGCCTGGCCAGCAGGTATTGATCCACATTCCGCGGGGGCAGCGTTTTGAGAGCACACTCCTTCGTGTAGTTGCTGACGCGCGTCAGTTGGGTGCTGACTGTGCAGACATGTACTTCCAAGAGTTGAATATCACAGGGACGTGGGTAGATGCGAAGCGGACCGACGGTCTTCATTTCCACGCGCAGGACGTGGGCGAAACGACGCCGAAGTGGGAACGTGTTGGGAAGATCGACGTGAAGGTGGCTCATGGTCGCACGCAGCAGGGGACCCAGTACTTGAACTTCTACGTGAGGCACCTCGGCCGTGTTGGCTTCGCGGTAGGAGGGCTGCTTGGAGAAGATGATCACACGGAGGCAGCAACTCCTTCGGGGGCATGCGTTCGGCGCAGCCTTTCTCTCCTTCAGATGTAGGGTCGGGGCGGTTCAGGTGCTTCCCGATCCTCAGTCATAGAAACAACCTCTGTGACTACGTATAGCTCTATAGTTTCTGCGTGCACGCGGGGGAGGACCCCAAAGTCCTCGACAGCACTGCGCACCATGAGCCACTTCTGATTGTTGCTTTTGAGAAAAAAAGTCCCAAGCTAGAGCACGCTTCTTCAATATATGATGGAGAAGTATCAGGCAGGCCGTTGCTCGTGTAGTTTGGAGTCCAGCAAAACAGTTCGGAGACCCAATATTTGTTTTGATGAATCAAGGTGCGTTCTCCGCGGGGGAGTACATCAATTGAAAAACACACACATGTTATTGGAGGGTGGATTCACCAATATTTTTTTTCGGAAGAGTGCGAGTTCAACAAACAACAACAAACAAGCAGAATGCGGGCTTCGGAACCTCACTGCACCCACGCACCCAGGGATGGTCCATTCGGCCCTTTCGGGTGTGCCTCCATCGAGGGAAGATGATCCTGATCTCGTTGATGGTGGTAGTACTCGGGCTTCCTGGGCACTGGAAAGATTACCACCAATGACGAAATCTAGGATCATCTTGCCCCTGGTGGAGCCAGACCCCCAGTGTTGGTGCTGGTGCCCATTTCCAAACTTCCAGCTCTGATAACCCTTGCGCTTGCATGACAACGCGCTAGAAGGAAGGCAGCGGGGCTTCTCAGAAGGCAGCGGGGCTTCTCAGAAACCCTCCAGCCGTGTGAGAAGTTTTCTGTCTTCGGGGAAAGCTTCGAAACCTGTTCGGAAGGCCCGAGACCTCCCGAGCCTTGTGAGAAGGCCCGCTTCCCCCCCCGACTCGCCGACGAGTTAACCCCTGGCGCTTGCATGTAAAAACGCCTTCCCTCAGGAGCGCCACGGGGACCCGAAGGCGTCCCCCGAGGCCCCCGCCGTGGCGCCGCCGCTGAGTCTCGAGGAGGCCTGCGAGCGCTACGCCAGCGCGGTGCTGCCCCTGGTGCCGCTGCAGCGCACGGGCCGCGGGCCGCGCTCAGGCGACCGCTGCGGGAGAAGATGGGCTCCCAGACATCTGGCGTCTCGCGAAATCGGAGCGGAGGTTTTTCACCTCGGTACGGTCGAAATGGGCGCGGAGAGACTGGTTGTCGAAGACGGACAACAGTTCGAGCCTATTTTGAAAAGGGTTCGTTGCCCGTGCCGCCGCGGGCGGTGTCCATTTGAGACAGAAGGCCTCCCGCCCAACAGCGGCCGCTGTCGGATTTGGACAACATGTGCTGTTGGGCATCGTACCCATTTCTTCCGCACCCTTTTCGGGGGTCCAAATCCCAGTGTTTTGCTTCTCGGGGCGCTCACTGGGCCTCGGGACCGTCACAAAGTATTCGGGATGAAAAACCGGTCCCGGGGAAATGGTCGAGAGGTCGGGGATTTGTGTCTCGCAAATATAGAGACGCCGGACGTCTGGGTTCGAGACGGTTTACCAGCCTGGAACCTATCCCTATCCCTATGTTGGGCATCGCCTCATCACGATGGCGATCTTAGGGATTCCCTCAGTTTCCCTAAGATTGCCATCGCCTTTGGGCGTGTCAATATTAGGGTAAGTTCGAGGCTGATTGACAGTTTCTTTATCCCCTGGGGATAACGGGCGTGACCCGGGCAGGAGCAGTGGCTCGCTCGGCGGGGCAAGATGCAATGCCCTGCTTGTTTTTGCAGCCCGGGCCTCGAGGGCCGCCTTGACCGTTGTGAGCACCGCGTGGGTGATCGGAGCGCCCGAGCTGAGGCGGCGGCGCGCGCAGCACGGGGCGAGCAAAAGAGTTTTACCCGAGGCTCGTGGTGACTGTTTTGGGGGGGGAGGGCGTTCACGTCACGATTTGCGCTGGCGCCGTCTGGGAATGCCAGGGTCGGGGCTCAAGAGACGGGGGTCAATGCAAACGGGGGCAGACAGAGCGCCTGATCTTGCAAGATGCTGCAGGGCCACGGTCGCATTGACCCGGGCTTGGGTACAAACAGGATCCTGCAGGATTGCACAGGATTCTGCAAAGCCTGACTGACGCGGGTCTGGATTGACCCGGGTCAATCGATTCCCAACAGGGTCTGGCCAGTTCCCAAACGGCGCTGGAGCCAATCGTGATGTAATCAGGAGGGGGTCGGGGAGGGTGCGGGGCGAGCCTGGTCACGGGCATGATTGCGAATAATGCAAAAACATGTTCTGCACAGCAGGAATAGATGCCGATAGTCCTACTTGTTTATCTTTCGCTTACTTCGTTCCGTGGGGCAGTTGTTATTACGACGCGCCCGCCACATGGAACAGTGCGAAAGAGTAGCTGTTGCTGACGAGCGATGATTATGCCAGACCCTTTGCCAGATCCCGGTGGCGCACCAAGGGCACTTAGCGGTTCACCGAAGGCGCCGTCGCCAAAATAAAGATCACCAGTTTCAGCATTTCGCGTCAGGGGCATGTTGTGGCGGCGCCGTCGCCAAATATTTGTTTGCGGCAGTAAAGAACTTGACATTACCGCTGCTCGCCTTGGAGAGTTCTCGTCGCAACGGCTGGATTCTCCTTGAAATCGGAATGCACCTTAGGAGAGGGCCGGGGAGTAGCTGCATCGATACCCAATTTGTCCCCCAAGGGTGCCTCCTCCCCGTCCTCATCCTCCACCTCCTCATCTTCCTCGCCCTCGCCCTCCTTATCCTCCTCCTCGTCTTACTCCTCCTCCCTTTTCTCCTTCTCCTCCTCCCCCTCTTCCCAGACATCCCACATCTACCGACACAACTACAGACCTACGCCCGCTCCTTCCTACCACGTTGTGTCCCCACAGCTCAGGAAACAACCAGGCTAGGCCAGGAACAAGGCGTCAGGCTCCGACTCCAACACTACCCAGGTCCGTCCCCCACCGCAGCCCTTTCGACTCGATCAGAACCTCACGGCATTTTCCCACGCGCGGGACCAGTTTGAGCTACTACCGACAACCGCGCTCAGTTTGCATGGTGCAGCAACGCAGCCCAACAGCATGGGCCGCAGCGGCTGCGGCGGCCGAGCCCCCCACAACAGCGCAGGAGGCGGCAATGGCGACGGAACAGGTGGCGATGCAGAAGCCAGCTGAACGCGGCAGCGGACCATTCGATCGGGTCTTCGGAAACGTGCAGTAACGCCTGGAGACCTGCCACATGACGCTGCAGAGCACCAGCGTGAAGTACGACGACATCATCGAGCACAACCGGATGGCGCTCCACGGCCTCTACAAGCAGCAGGAGCGCATCACTATGAGCTTGACGAGGATCGCTGCCAGCAAGAACCCGAACCAACACGAGGAGATCGAGCGCACCCACGTGGCGGAGTTCCTCAAGCAGCAGCTCGACGAGAACAGCCAGGCCATCGAACACTGCCGCGGCGTCGGAAGCATCCTCGGCAGCTAGAGTAGGCCCCACAAGGGGCCCTATCTTCTGGAGCTGGACAGCACGAGGCTCCAGATCGATGAACTCGAGGAATACAACACCAAATGGACGGAGAGCGACTACTGCTGGGGCTGCGACGAGGTGAAGATGGTGGACCAGAGCAGTCTCGACAGCTTGCAGCAGCAGGACAACAGCAGCACGCAGCAGCGCCCCAAGTGCCCGAACCCCGCCAAGAGTATCCAAGGGTGGAAGCCGTACGTGAAGGTGGTGCCGACGCAGCTGCAGCTCCAGCCCCAGCCCCCGCCAGGCATTCCAGCGGAGCCGAGCGCACCGAGCCCGAGCGGGGACCTTCGCCTCCGTGGCCCGTGGCCCATCGATCGCATAGGAGGCGGGGTGGGGCTGGGCTGAATGTCGTGAGCAGCGATTCCAGCCAGCAGCCTGCCCTTCTATTTTTTGGAGAGCCCGCCCTGCCAGCGCCATTAGCTCCCCGTCCAGCGTTCTCCTGCCAACGAGGCTCACTACCAAAAGCAGAGAGTAGCCAACTAGCAGCAGGTGGTCTCCCACAATTCAGCAACGTCAGGTCATCCTTTGTTTTTTCTCTTGCTCCTGCATCGTGCCGGCAGCAGCAGGAGAGAGGTGTTGGGTGGGGTTGGGCGAGTGGGGAGTGGGGGGGAGTGCTCTTAGCGGACTGGGACCCGCCTCTACTGGGCGGCGCCGCAGTCCGCCTGCGTCCAAGTGCCAGCTCTTAAGGGCAGGGTCTCCCTGCTGACGGCGCAGCGGCCCACCGCCGCAGGGCTGGGGACCGCGCGCACCAGGCAGCCTTCGATCGCTCGCTGTGAAAGGGGGGCTGCGTCCGCACGCTCACCCAAGGGTTGCCCCTTTTTTTAGCCGTCGTGACTTACCCCCGAGGGCCTTATCCTTATCCTTATCCTTTCACCAGACCTTCACGTGCGCGACCACAGAGAAACGACAGGAGGTTTTCGGTCTTGCCAGGCCTCGGGACCGTCGAAGAACGGCTCGGGATGAAAACCGGCCCGGGGGACGGGGTCCAGACCTCTGGGGATCCACGTTGTGGAGAGAAAAAACACGACGTCCGGGGTCTGGTTTTTCTACCTCCCCCCCTTCGCTCTCGCCCAGTCATCCTCCCCCATGATCCTCCTCCTGCTGTTGCAGCGAAGCCCTTCCTCCAGCAGGGCTTCCGCTTTCGGATGGATAGGCGCGCCGTCTCAGGCAAACCACATCCCCGCTCCTTGCAAATACCTCCACCTCCTCTCCTCCTCCTCCTTCTCCTCCTCCTCCTCCTCGTCCTTCTCCTCTTCCTCCTCGTCCGCCTCCTCCATCTCCTCCTCTTCATCCTCTTCCTCTTCCTCCTCCTCCCCCTCTTCCTCCTCTCGGGAGTCGGGGACCTCCAAACAGTGCGGTGGCCACACCGCGTGGTGAGTCCAGTGGGGACGGTGACCGCTCGGTTTTTGGACTTGGGTCGTTCTCTGGGGACAAAGCCGGGCCCTGGGGACGTCTCGGGCGATTGGGGCCGTTGTTGGTGGATTGCGTGGTGAGGTCGTTGGGGATGTCGAGGTCGCCACACGGTCTGTCGCCGTAATTACCGTTTCGGGACCCCCAATCCTCATCCTCCTCCTGTCGTGGTGAGGCCCTCGTTCCAGCGAAGCTCTCGCGCTGGCCTCGCTTCGGATGGATAGGCCGCGTCAGGCTACATATCATCCTCGTTCTCCTCTTCCAAATAATCTTCTTTTCACCTTCGCCACCACCAGAATCGGAGTCCCAAACCTAACCCGAGGTCCAGAACTACCGAAAGAACAAAGTACACGAGGCCCTGCGCGCCACCCACGCAAGCTGTATTGACCTCCTCTATCCTCAATTTTCCCCCGCCGGATTAATGAAAACCGCTGCCGTCGCCGAAATCGGAGACGTCGAGGGGGACAGGGGGAGGGGTGCGGAGCGGGGGCGATTCCTTCCTTTTTTCGTGTTTCCTGCTTCCCCTTGTAGCCGCTGCTGTCCAACGAGCAACCCCGCGCCTTGATTGCGCACCCTGCGACTATCCATGCCGAGGTGAGTCCCTGATACGGTAGGTTTGCGTCGTGTCGACCAGCGACGACCCCAGCGCCGGCGTTCAAGGTTGAACGCCGCCGGCGACCCAGAATCGATCGATGTTGAACGATCGGACGTTGCGGCAGCGGCCGATCGTTCAAGGTTGAACGATCCCTGCGGTGTCAAAAACCAACGCTGGGGTCGGCACGACACGAACCTGCCGTAATTGTATTAGGGTCACGCCGCTATACCCTCGTGGGCCCCCGCAGCTCCGTCCAGGCCACACTGGATACAGGATCCACAGCGGGGGCCGCGGAAACGCAAGCGGCTGGTCTCAACGAAACCGCAAGCACCGCCTCCATACGTCACGGCGCCGAACACGGAAAGGAAGCGTGGTGCTTGGACGGAACTACGCAAACCTTCTAGCGGTTGGTCTCAACGAAACCGCAAGCACCGACTCCATACGTCATGGCGCCGAACACGGAAAAGGAAGCGTGGTGCTTGGACGGAACTACGCAAACCTTCTTCATTCCCATGGCCGCGAACACGGGAGCCAAACGCTTGTATTGGACAGGTAATATCATAAGACAGGCATGATATTCTTAACCTTCTGGAGCGGTCTGTACCAGGGACCGCGCCTCTACGGAGCTTCCTGAGCTCCGAGGACACCATCCTGGTACATCTGGCGTTCAGTTTTCGATTCCTAACGCTGGACGTGAGTCCGCCGCACGCAACACAGAGTACGATGGGAAGCTTGGATCTCATGACCGACCCAATCTGCAACATATAGTTGATCTCCGGGGCCACTCCGATGGCTGCTTGTACATAGGTCGCCAACTCTTGGCAGACAATCCGCACGTGGTGCAACGGAATCGCCTGCTCGTCCAAATTGGAGCATGTTGGCTGGCAAGCTCATGAAGGGGCTCTCTCTGGACGCTTGCGGTCAAGCTCCCCGTGCATCTCACTGGCCTGAGGCCACCACCTGAAAATCGGACCTGCACCTAGCTAGTACCAGCTCTGCGCATGTGCTGACCAGTGCAGAAAATTTCTCCACCTCCTCGGGCGATATGTCATGCAGACGGGCGATTTCTTTTGCGTCCCAGTCGGCCGCCTCGTTGGCAGCGATCAGGGTGTCACCCTGTCCTGTTCGTTTACCGCTTCGCTTAAGGCCCTGTGGGCTTTACTTTGAATGGCGTTGAGCCAGGAATGCGCTGGCAGCTGGGTAGCAATGCTCTTCCAATGCCCAGAAAACGGTTTGCACCCTTGAGGGCACCCTGTTTTTTTTTTCAGCATTTTGAAAATGTCGCACAATCTACATTTATAGGGTGGGACCTGGGGTGATCCGACCAAGCCGCTGCTACTGCTAACCCTTCGTGCTCCGCGTGCACGCGGGCCTACTTGCAGCTTCTCGGCATTGGGGCGCGGATTGTTCTGCATGACGCCCTTTTGCGTCAGATATCTGCGCCGCAACCGCTGCTCCGCCTGTATCGGTTTATTCAGGGTGCAGATCTGACCCGTCTGTGTAAGTCGGGAGGTCCTTACAAGAAAGTGGTTGGTCGCAACGGCCATTCGTATCAACATGCTGGAGGTGCCATTCCTCTACAGGCTGTAAAAGTTGTGGTTTGACCGCGCAAGGTTTTCTCCTCACCTTCTTATTCATCCTCCTCCTTTTCCTCTACCCCATCCTTCCTCACACTCCATCCCTATTTTCCTCCTACTACTCCTCCGTCACAGTCGCGCTCCAGCGATCGCCGTGAGGAAATTCAAACAACACAGGGACAACAATTTTCGGCATGATATCAGCGAGAACTGTCTGGACTTGTGGGGGCCCCGCCAACAGCGCACCAAACACCCAAACCGTAAACAAAAACCATTACATCGTGTGGACCTCCGCGAGAACAGGTCCCGAGGACATGCTGGACGTTGTTTATGCCGCCTGGGCATAGACGTCTCTCAAAACGTCAGGGCGTTTTTTCCCACCGTTTGGAGATGCATGGTTTCATGTGCGTGTTCTGGCAATGCGTTATCACAGTTCCTACGAGCATAACAACCGAGTAGTTTCCGTCTCCGTAGCCGTTTACGCATCGATTGTTGTTTAGTTTCGTTTCCGATGTACAGTTGTTTGTTTTCCCCCGTTCCCGTGTCTCCCCCGTCCCGCGCAGGCACGGTAGGCGTTCCTTGCGTTTCTCAGTCGCTGTCGGAGAAGGCGCCCGGGGCGGAAGAGGCGCTGCCGTCTCCGACGGGCACAGGCTCGGGCAGCCCCCTGCCCTGCGAAAGTGGCTGGAACTCGGGCCACTGACTCGGGCAAACTGAAAAGCAAGGCGCAGTGCTTTCTTATTGTTCCGATTCGGGCGCCTCGAGAGGTTTTGGCGGGCAGCGTTTTCAGTTGCTCAGTTGCTGCTTCTGGTCCAGGTTCCCCTCCCTGGTGGCGCCGCTCCTCTTCGGTTTAGTGTTCGAGTTTCTTCGTACGGTCGGACCGAGGAATAAGGTCGAGGTCGGTTCGGGGAGGTTACCGAGGGTATCCTAATGTTTCTCGTGATTGGTGGATGATCTTGAGCACCCTGGGGGAGGGAACCCTCGATTGTTCTGCAGTTTGTGCCGGCGGAGGGCTTCATGCTCTTGAAGGACACTGGGCAGTCCTAGGACCGACCGTATCCCCGTTTTCAGCGTCCCAAGAGCGAGGCATGAAAACGGAACAGAACCCGGACCAGACCACTTCGAGAACCAGCCCAAGGCGCCTGGGGCTCCTCGCCGCCGCAGCACCGATCCCTCTCGAAGTCCGCGTAGCGCATAGCACAATACGCCCCCCGGGACGCCTGGGCAGCTGCGGCGATCGCCCGGACGGGAGAGGGGATCTTTCTCCCTCGGCCTGCTCTCCCTCTCAGCTCCTCCTGCTCCTCCTCCTCCTCCTCCTCCTCCTCCTCAGCTTTCCCTCCTCCTCCTCCAGAGCTCCCATATCGTTCCCCGCAGGGCGCTGTTGCAATAACTAGGCGCTGCTCCTGGACACGCCCCAGGCGCCCTATCCGTCTCATCCCTTACCCGTCCTCTCACTCGCCCTCCTCCCCCCCCCCCCTCTTCCCCCGCTCCCACCCCACGGGGCGCGGGCCGCGCTTCGGCGATCGCGAGGCCGGAACAGGAGTCTGTAGGACGTTTCTGGAGGTTCTCCTCCAGGGCTCCCCTGGGAAGAGGGAGGGAGGGAGGGAGGTGCATGCTCGAAGGGGTGCCTTTTGCACCCGCTGCGAGGAACGCTGACCCTTCTCTTCCGGGCACCCCCCTTTTGCGATCCCGACTACCCAGAACCCCGAGCGCTGTGACTTGTTCGCAGCGCGGGCGCCCGGAGGTGCCCTCCCGCTGGTCCGGGGTTTCGTCCTGAGCCGTTCCTGGCGGTCCCGGACCTGGCCAGGGCCCCTGGAGGCCAAACACCACCAAAAATTGTCGGTCGTGCTGTTGTTGCGAAACTGGTCCCGGGGACCCCCATCCCCGGGTTGCAGGACCCGTTCCCTCCAGGACCCTTCGCCCAGGACGGAAGACAGTATCATTGACACGCCGCCGTGGGGAGCCCGTCATCGGGTTATCCAATCTCTTGTGCATAAAAAGCCAAGTGTTTCTTCACCAGCACAGTCGAGATCCATGATGAGAGCTCAAGGCTGCCTTCAAGCCCTTACGTCCTTGCATCGGCGGCCCGTCCTTCGCCGCTCTTCCCGGCCAGCCCCTGAGGGTACTCTTGGGGCGGGCGATGTCTTTCGGCTGCGCGGCGGAACGCCCGATGGGGGTGGGTCAGGGCACCCTGGCGTCCCTGGGGTGTTGGCAGCCCGCCGCCTAGAACATGCCAGCTTCGGCGGCCAAGGCCCTCGCGTCCTTACCGCCCGCCCTCGTGGCATAGTTTGATTGCAGCCTGCTGGTGGGCCGCCTAGACCATGCCAGCTTCGGCGGCCAAGGCCCTCGCGTCCTTACCGCCCGCCCTCGTGGCAGAGTTTGATTGCAGCCTGCTGGTGGGTTCCCCACGGCGGCGTGTCCTCGATGCGGCCGGGCCGAGGTAAAAGATCGAGGGTCGGCTCGGGGAGGCTGCCCTCATGTTCTCCTTGTTTCCTGGGCGTGCTTCGTGCATGCTCGAATGTTTTTGCTTTTGTTGTTCTTTTTTGATTGTGTGTGTATATTGCGCCGCTGCTGCTGGCCCCCACCCCCGGCGCCGCCCAGCCGCGCGCCTGGCCCTGCTCTGAGCGGGCCCGGCCTCCGTCTCCCTCCCGCCACCGCCGGGCGCCCTCCTCCCCCACCTCGCGCACCGCGGCCTAACTGGCGTTCCTTCATCCTACCAGCGCCCTACCCGCCGGCGCAGTCCCTCTGCCTCGCCGCCGACGTACAAACGTGTGTGTGTGTGTGTGTGTGTGTGTGTGTGTGTGTGTGTGTGTGTGTGTGTGTGTGTGTGTGTTTCTGTGTGTGTGTGTGTTTCTGTGTGTGTGTGTGCTGGCCCGCTGAAGGGTCTCGCGTTCTTGGAGGGTGCTCTTCTGCCCTAGGTTTGGCCGTCGTTTTTGTTGTCCCACCCGCCCCCCAGTGTTCCCCCGTGCCCGAGGCGAGCGCCTGGGGGCCGACGCCGCGGTCCAGAGCGTCGTGCAGATGACGATCGTGCCCCAGCTCCGCTGCGTGAGCGACACGTCGGGGAGCGTGAAGGCCAGGGCCCACTGCTCGGCGGCCAGCGCGGGTGGGATCTGCGTAAACGTCGGTTGTCGGAGGTCCGCGCGGATGTCTTGGATCTTCCTCGGGCTCCCCCTCCCCTGGCGCGCGGAGCCAGAGGGGGCCAGCGCAGACCCAAGAAATCCGCGCGGAGTTCCGACAGTTTGTGTTTATGTTTTTTTCCCCCACATCCTAAGTGGGTTTTTTTTGTTTTCTCTGCGCACCCTCCGCGCAGGATCTCTCGTCCTCCTCCCTCTCCTCTGCTCCTCTTTGCTTCCTCCTCCGCATCATCATCACCATCACCATCACTCCCCACTCATCATCATCATCATCATCATCATCATCATCATCATCATCATCATCATCATCATCATCATCATCATCATCATCATCATCACCATCAACATCACGATCACCATCGCACGATCACTCACCATCATCGGCATCGAACGATCATCATCATCATCATCATCATCATCATCATCATCATCATCATCATCATCATCATCATCACTACTCGCTGACTCACCACTTCGTCCCCATCATCATCACCACCATTTACGATCAGAATCGCACGATCACTCACCATCAGCACTCATCATCACCACCATCATCATCATCATCACGTCGTCATCATCACCACCACCATCATCATCATCATCATCATCATCATCATCATCATCATCATCATCATCATCATCATCATCATCAATCATATATCATCATCAAACACCGTCGTCATCATCCCATCACCATCATCCACCAAGAGGGAGCCTCGTCTGTGAGTGAATTGTGAGGAAGTCTCAGGCGGGAGCCCCCTCCCTATGGGGCCCGCAGATCATGTTATTAATCCGAGCGGGTCATCGGATTCCTGTAATTGTCGTCACTTTTGGGCTCCTCAGGTCTGAATTTGGAGGAAGTATCAAGCGGGAGCCTCGTCTGTGAGTGAATTGCAAGGAAGTCTCAGGCGGGAGCCCCCTCCCTATGGGGCCCGCAGATCATGTTATTAATCCGAGCGGGTCATCGGAGTCTTGTAATTGTCGTCACTTTTGGGCTCCTCAGGTCTGAATTTGGAGGAAGTATCAGGCGGGAGCTTCGTTTGTCAGTGAATTGCGAGCAAGTCTCAGGCGGGAGCCCCCTCCCTATGGGGCCCGCAGATCATATTATTAATCCGAGATGGTCATCGGATTCCTGTAGTTGTCGTCACTTTTGGGCTCCCCAGGTGTGAAGTTGGAAAAAGTATCAAGCGGGACCCTCGTCTGTGAGTGAATTGTGAGGACGCGTCAGGCGGGAGCCCCCTCCCTATGGGGCCCGCAGATCATGTTATTAATCCGAGCGGGTCATCGGATTCTTGTAATTGTCGTCACTTTTGGGCTCCTCAGGTCTGAATTTGGAGGAAGTATCAGGCGGGAGCCTCGTTTGTCAGTGAATTGCGAGCAAGTCTCAGGCGGGAGCCCCCTCCCTATGGGGCCCGCAGATCATGTTATTAATCCGAGCGGGTCATCGGATTCCTGTAACTGTCGTCACTTTTGGGCTCCTCAGGTTTGAATTTGGAGGAAGTATCAAGCGGAGCTTCGTCTGTGAGTGAATTGTGAGGAAGTCTCAGGCGGGAGCCCCCTCCCTATGGGGCCTGCAGATCATGTTATTAATCCGAGCGGGTCATCGGAGTCTTGTAACTGTCGTCACTTTTGGGATCTTCAGGTTTGAATTTGGAGGAAGTATCAAGCGGGAACCTCGTCTGTGAGTGAATTGCGAGGACGCGTCAGGCGGGAGCCCCCTCCCTATGGGGCCCGCGGATCATGTTACTAATCCAAGCGGGTCATCGGATTCCTGTAGTTGTCGTGACTTTTGGGCTTCTCAGGTCTGAATTTGGAGGAAGTATTAGGCGGGAGCCTCGTTTGTCAGTGAATTGCGAGCAAGTCTCAGGCGGGAGCCCCCTCCCTATGGGGCCCGCAGATCATATTATTAATCCGAGCGGGTCATCGGATTCCTGTAACTGTCGTCACTTTTGGCGTGCTCAGGTCTGAATTTGGAAGAAGAATTAAGGGGGACCCTCGTCTGTGAGTGAATTGTGAGGACGCGTCAGGCGGGAGCCTTCCTATGGGTCCCGCAGCTCACGTGGTTCCTCCGGGTCATCCTCCAGCGCGCGCTTCCTCTGGGTCGTCCTCCGGCGCGTATCGGCTGGGACGCACGTCGTGCGTTTCCTCTGGGTCGTGTTCCGCACGAGGACGAGGAGGAGGAGGATTGCCAGGAAAAGGAGGAGGGATGATGCAGGACGAGACAGGAAAGCAGGAAGAGGAAGAGGCTGAGGGGAGGAAGGACGAGGAGGAAAAGGAGGAGGAGGAATGCCCGAGGAGGCCCCAGTAGGTCCCGGAAGGCCCAGAAGGCTCCAGGAGGCCCCAAGAGGCCCCAGGAGGCCCCAGGAGGGGGCAGGAGGCCTAAGGAGGAGGCAGGAGGAGGAGGAGGAGGAGGAGGAGGAGGGGGGGGGAGGAGGGGGGAGGAATATGGAAACGAGGAGGAGGAGGAGGAGGAGGAAGCGGATGAGGGAGAGGGAGAGGAGGAGGACAGGGGATGAGGAGGAGGAGGAGGAGGAGGAGGAGGAGGAGGAGAAGGGAGAGGGAGAGCAGGAGGAGGAGGCAGGAGGCAGGAGGGGCAGGGGGAATGGGGGGGAGGAAGCATAACGAGGGGGAGGGGGAGGAGGTGGAGGAGGCAAGAAGAGGAGGAAGAGGCAGGGGTTGAGGCAGGAGGAGGAGCAGACAGGAGGAGAACGAGGAGGCAAGAGTAGGTGGGAGAAGGGAAGGGGCAGGAGGATACCCCCATGCAAGTTAAAGAGATTCTCATGTGGGGTCCTTCCGTCGGAGTAATTTGTTTTTTGTTTTTATGTTCTTCGAGAGGAAGATCGGCGGCGAGCGCGGGGGCGGGAAGTGAGAGGGGGCGGGCCTTCTCAGAAGGCTCGGAAGTTCCCTGGCCTTCGGAGAGGTTTTCTACGCCTTCCCCGAAGACGCAGACGTCTCGGAAGGCTGGACGGCTTCTAAGAAGCCCCGCCGCCTTCTGAGAAGGCCCTCTCCTTCTCATTTCCCCTCTTCGCCCGCTGGCGAACTACAACCCAGACCCCCCTCCAGTTGCAACAAAGAACGCGACGGGAGGTTTTCAACCATTTTCGACCTCTGGGGGCCCCCGTCAGGCCCCAGGACCGCCAGCAAAACGACTCGGGATGAAATTCGTTCCGGGGGAAGGCGTCCAGACCTCCTGGGACCCACGCTGTGCAGCAATCGCGACGTCGGCGGCCTGGGGACGTCGATCGAGCGTGACCGATCGAGCGTCGGGTCAAACGTGGCCTCCTCCTCCTCCTCCTCCTCCTCCTCCTCCTCCTCCTCCTCCTCCTCGTGGCCGATCGACCAAGTTCAGAGTCGGCTCCAGCCGACACGATCTGATCCGATGCCGATATTTCGACGACCCGATGCGGCCCAGTGCTTGCGCGGCGCTGCGGTGCTGGGTCGGCCGATCCGGTGCGAGTCTCCGATTCCGCGCCTGGGCGCCATGATATCCAACGCACATTCCGATTCGATGCGGTTTCCCGGATCGATGCTGGCTGATTTTGGTCGGGGGGGGGCCCAAACTCGAGGGAGGACCCCCCCCCCCGACCCTCCTAAGCGGCGTTCCCTCAACGGCCTTCGGCGTCTATGAAACAGCCCTGTCACGTTTGATCCCTTCCTCGGTGCATTTACTGAACAGCCTTCGCTCGTCGAGGTGCTTACTATGAGGGTGGCCTAGTTCGCCCTACACTTAAGTCGGGACTGTCCCTCTACAGGAGGAAGATTCAAAACTAGTCACAAAACAGTCGGGTGGCGATTTGTTTTAATATTTTTGGACCATGTTGGGGTATTGTTGGGGCAGTTCTTTATTGTTCGTTTCACAATCCCCCTATAGGAGGACGTGCCCGACCTAACCCTACAAACGGTGCGGTGACCACACCGTGTGGTGAGTCAATGGAGACTGCGGGTGTCCGCGGGGTTTTGGGGCCCAGGTCGGTCTCCGAGGACGCCTCCTCGGGCGACTGTGGCCCCCGGGGGCTGAACGCCGTGCGGCGACGGACCGTGCGGTGATGTGTTTTTTTGTTTTTACGGAGATGGAGGTCCCCGCACGGTCTGTCACCACACCGCTCCCAGACATCCGATGTCTTGCTTTGTTCATTGCGAGGCCCCCAGGACTCCCGACCCTTTCCCCAGGGCTGGCTCTTCATCGCGAGTCGTTTCTGGAGGGTCCTGGGGCCAGGCGAGGGCCCCCAGAGTCAGAAAACGGCAACAAACATGTCCATCGCGGTGCTGGCACGACGCGAGGAGAGTTGTTCTGCTTCCCCGAATAGCGTTTCGCTAGAGGGTTCCAGTAGTGCTCGAAGGGTTCCTCTCACTAGAATCTCCTCAGCAGGGCCGGAGCACTCAGCCCTCGCAGATCCAGAAATGAGACTCACCCTCGTGTTCTGGCTTGACTTGGTCGAGCAATGAAACTCACAATTATTTTTTGTTGTTTCTTTTGCGTTTTAGCTCGATTACCTCCGCCCGAATTTCCGCAGTGGTGGCTAGGGGGATGCGTCCCACCAGTCCGGCAGGTGTTCGGAGACGATTCATTATGGTGTCTTGTCTCGACGTCAGCCCTTGCATATTTAGAAATGAGATTTTTGTTTGCGCTCTGGCTTGATTAAATTCCAGACGCTTCGCGCAACTCCTCCAGCTCCGCTTCTTCCTCGCGGTCCTGGTTTTCTCCACGCGTCGACGCTCGTATGCGCGCCCTAGTCCGTACCTGGAGGCCGTTTACCGCTTCGGCACCCGCTGACGCTCCTACTGCGTCGTCCACGCCCGTCTCGGAGTCGTTCTCGCTGCTCCTGATGGCTCGCTTGCTCGTTCCACGTCGTGAAGGCCTTCCGGGTCCAGGACCTCCTGTTCGGCAACTTACCTGGGGCGCAGAGTATGGACGCCTGCTTCCCTCCCCTGGTCACC